TGTCTCTCTTTCTCTCTTTCTCTCTTTCTTTCTCTCTCTCTCTCTCTCTCTCTCTGTATTTCTCCTCTTTCCCTCTGTCTTTCACAGCACCTTAGACCCCGTAGCCGTGCTTTCGTCCCATCCTTTCGTCTCGCTTCATTTCGGCTTGTTGTCTGGCGGGGTTGAAACACCGCCCGCCCCGCTCCGGCTTGCAGCAGAGAGGAGTCGGGGGGCCGGGGCACCCGGCCCCGCAGAGCCGGCGCGGTCGGAGGCGTACGGAGAAGTGTGTTTCAGGGAGGGGGGAGGCAGCGTTTCACCCCGCAGTGCCCTCCGCATTTCACTCCCGCCCTCTGGTACCTGGAAGCGTTATGGCCTTAGAAAACTCCTCCAGCACGGCACGCCTGGGGGTGCGCAGGGGGGAAAGCAAGAGGAGGGCTCAGGGGAGAGGTTGGGGAGGGAGAGGAGCTGAACGAGCCTGAAACGACTTCTGTGTGCCTCTGGAAAACACAGCTACGGAGCGATGCAATTAAGCATGTAGATGTATGTCCACGTCTCCTAACCAGGGGCACCCCAAGGAGACCCAGCTCCAGGACAGATCCGTGTTAGAGCAGCACTGTTGTCCGTGCTTTAATGCAGTGTATCCATTCGCTTTGTTGATTATTGTTTTCGTTTCTTCTTTTCCTTTCTCTTCTGTTTCTTTCCCCCTTTCTTCTCCAGCCTCGTTTCGTTTGTGTTTTGGTTTGGTTTCTTTCCCTCCTTTTCCTTTGGAGTTGTTGACGTGCTGATGTGTTGCGGAGCTCGGCTCCTTGCGGGTGTTGATAACTGCTTTGTTTTTGATTAATCTCAGCTATCTGGGCAGTGTTGTCGAGACAAGCTTCTCCTCAGCTCAATAGGTAAGGGTGATCCATGTCCGAAAGGATGGTGTGGGCGCTGTGGAGGGTGGCCGGGAGCGGGGCATGAGAGGGGACACGGAAGGGGCTTTTCCAATACCATCTCTTCCTTTAAAGGGGAATAAGGAATCCAAAAACACTAGGAAACACCTCTGGACGCACAGTCTCTGTGGCTTTTGGGTTTCCCCTCCCAGCGGCACGCCGCTGCTCCGCTGCCTTTGGGGTGGCAGCGGGGCTGGAGAGCCCAGTGCTGGCAGCCGTGGCTTCGCGTTGAAGTTTGGGATGAGCCGAGCTGCTGTCTCCCCGTGGCCGTCCTTCCTTTCTTGGAGGATGGCGACACGCGGCACCCCTCAGCCCTGGCAGGGCTTGCGTGGTGCGAGGGTTCTGCGGTGTTAGGGAGGTGCGTGTCGAGGTGGGGTTGTCCCAGATGATCCAAACCAGGAGGAGCTCGCGGCTACCCCCTGGAGCCAGGTAAAGCAGCTGCATCTGGAGCAACCAGCCGCAGACAGTGCTTTCAGAGTGGGGCTCCGAAAATCAGTCTCCAGCTGCGGTCCAGGACATGGAGAACTTTATTCCCAGCAGTACCTCAATCTGTATTCTTTTTCCCAAGTCTCCTCAATCATGGGAAATGGGAGAAGTCTTTCTTTCAAGATGAACTGTGTGGTTGGCAGCAGTGTAACTACAGTTTCAGACTGCCACTGAGGTGTTTTATCGTTCCCGTCACAAGTGTAGTCATAGTAAAAGCCCTCCCTCTCTGAAATACTCCTTGGAGAAATCTTCAAGGCTTCTTCTGACCCAGCTGTAATTAAACAGCCCTAAGCAGATCTTGAAAGACTCTGCCAAGAAAATACCTCTAGGGCTGCCTTCATGGGACCGGTTTCCTAGATGGCCATGGGCATCCCTGGTACTGGGATGGAGTAATTGGGAGATGGTTTTCAGACCTTAGAAGCAGAGAATGTCACTAAAACTGCTAAAGCCAGATGGGATAATAGTCACTCCTGACCCCAAGGATTGGGAATGCTGACCCGTTTGGCTGTCAGCTAGGCTGGTTATGGAAGGCGAGGTGGGATTGGAGATGGGACCGTTTCTAGGGCCTGGCCATGCCCAGGCTTCCTTAGGACAGGTCTTAACAAAAACTTAAGCTTTGCTGCCTTGGATGGGAAGAGTCAAGGTCCTGGCCGATGCTCTCTTAACAGCCTGAGGAGCCTTGCTGGCGTGGAGAAGAGCCTCGTAAGAGAGAGAGAGAGATGAGATGCCTAGAGAAATCAGGTGGATGTTTCCAGGAGAGTGGAATTCCTTCAGCTGATGCGTAGGGTTGTCCTGGGGTGGGGAGAGGGAGAGAGGTGAGGAAGGAGCGTCAGGTCACGGCCGATGAGAGCAGGTACAGGATGTGTGCTCTGTGGAAGAGCCATCCTCTTGGTATGGCAAAACTCCTCCAGTTCAAGCCTTGCAGCCTTCCAAAGTTCTTGAGCGCTTGGCCACCTTCTTCTGTTTTCCTCTTCTGATCCCAGAGAAGGGTGTCCCATGAGGAGCAGAGCTAGCACCAAGCCTCGGTGAGATCTGGGCTGTGCCAGACTTCTCGAGAAATGGGGAAGCCCTCGCTGAGGACGTTAACTGTTTTCTCTATTCTTTTTCTGTGGTGCTTCCCTGCTTCAGGAGCATTAGGGACACGAGTGAACGTGGCTTTAGCACAGCAGAGGTGAGTCCAGGCGTGGCTGTTGCACAGATCCTGGCTGGCTCCTGTCTCCCGTGCTGGGTGCTGTGGGCTGATGGGGTTTCAGGAGCGGGGGCATATTGCCCAGCAGGATGCTTGCGGAGGAGCAGCCGTGTGTCTTACTCGGAGATGCTGCCAGGGGTTGGAGTCGCAGGAGTGACTCCAGAGTCATTATCCCCAAAAAGGGGAAGCCAGAAGAATAAATCTCACTTTAATAAGCGAGGAATCCTGTAAAGAGCCCAGCCAAGTAATTTCTTGATGATTTGGGGTCATAAAATTGTCAGTGCATGTGGAGCATGGGGATTTTATACCAGACCAGCCAGATATCTGTACTGCAGTAATAAAAGTTGAGAGGAGGAGAGGGAGGCGCAGTTTGCGGGCCTGGTGGCGGCTGCAGCACGTTGGCTTTCGCTGAATGAAGGTCAGGAAGTTTTTACCGATGGGCAGGGATCAAAAAAATGCCGTTACTGAGTCGGCACGAGCAGTTTTTCCCATCTTCTTCTCTTTGGATGCAGCACGCGGTGGTGCATTTCCTAACGGGGAAGAGGGGGCTGTCTTCTCCCTGCAGAGGGAAACCCAAAAACCACAGACAAGGCACCAAGCACCCATGCCCCTTGGCACTGCAGCCTGCCCTGGGCGGCCACCCCGGCCTCCCCCTTGCTGGGGCAGCGCTGCCGACGCCGGGAGTTCGGGGGCTTGGCCGCGGCGTAGCGTTGAGTGATGAAGGGACGTCGGCGCCTGGTGTGCGGGAGGAGGAGCATCCCTCGCTCCCCGCTTGAAAGAAAAGAGGTTCCCCTTTAAAGACTGTCCATGTGCTGATCCTCTGCATGTGTTTCATGCCGCCTCCTGCTTGGAGAAGTTGTGAGTCCGCTTGTCTGAGTGCGTTTTCCTTTTCTTTCTTTCTTCTTATTATTTTTTTCTTTTCAGTCTCTTTAATTTACTTATATATTTTCTCACTCCTGTTTTTCATTTATCTTCCTCTCTCTCCCCCTTCCCCATGACTGTATCCCCCTCTTCCTCTCCAGTCCAGCCCCTTTTCCCTCGCCCTCTCTCCTCCCCGCTCCTCTCCCGTCAGCATGGTGAAGTCCGTTGTGTAGATGAGTCGTGGTGTCTGCAGACCTGTAGAAGGGACCCCCTTCTCCGGTGTGCTCCCTGCTGTGACCAGCCCCTTCCTCCGTCATTGCGGTGCCTTGGCAGCAGCAGCTCTGGGGCAAGGGGCCGTCACCGCTGTGTTTCTCTAGCACCTCTCGCGCTGAAGGATCTCAAGCGATGCGCGATGGCATGCCGGGATGGAGGCAGCAGCCGGCGCTGCCTCAGAGCAGAGGGCGAATTCCGACTTGCAGGACGTCTCGTGGGATCGCGCAGGACTTGAGCTTGAGACGGAGCCTCACGTAGGTGAATTGAGATCTTCGTCTGAGGAGGATGAAGGGTTGAAGGACATGGTGGCTGAGACACGGTGGACTCTGGCCCAAGTGGATGCTCTAATGCGTCCGTACTATTCCTAGATGTCAATGTCTTGACTCAAGGAGAGGAGGAGGCAGGGAATGTGTGTTGAGACTTCCACGAGGTGAAATACATGTATTGTGCCCTTGAATCTCCTGGACCCTTCGTTTATATAGGTTCCCCCTTTTGGGTGGGAAGAGGTTAATGATGCTTTCATGGGCCTTCTGCCTTGCATCTTTGCTTTGTATGTAGAAAGATGTTTGAAGAAGAGCAGCTGAGGTGTGTTTGGGTTGGATAGTTCTTCTCTCCTAGCTACCTCCTCCTGTCCTGGGGCTCTTTGAGGTCTCTCAGTACCTTTGCGGCCTCTCCAGTACCTCTCTGTCCATGCAGTTCAGACCCTTGCTTGTTCAGAAGGGTCGTCCTTTGAAGACTTGAGGAAAATGGCTGCTCCGGGTGTTTGTCGCACCTCTGGAAGGCTTGCGTCAGGAATTCACGTGTGCTTCTTGAAGCTCCTTTGCTTGGCTCTGCACTGCAGGCTCTAGAAGTTCGCCCACCTCTCTGAACCTCTCATCTGTTGGTGCTCAAGATATCTCTCGTGCACGGGCAGCTGCCCAAAATGCTAACTCTGGGGGCAGGAAGAGGCTTTTGGCTGAGCTTTAAATGCAAATTAATTTGAAAGAATTGGAGTCCTTTGAAGAAATAAAGGGTGGGTAGAGCAGATAAAATTTGGCTGGTGAGTAACATCGTTTCGTCCTCTGTATCTCTTCCTTGCCAGAGGTCAGACAGTATTTATAGTGACACATGGGTTCAGTGCGCTCGCTGTTTATATTTGTGTGTATAAATACAAGTCCAATTACGGAGAACTAGTGGAAACGAGCTTCAGGCAATTTCCTCATAATCCCTTGCGTAAATCTGTCTAATTTTGTCAACATGCCACAGTAGCATCTTCTTAGAAAGAAAAAAGAATGGAAAGAGCAAGAGCCTTTTACAAGTTGAGCTTTAATAATATTGGCAAAGTTGTCTGGGTGGTGGGAGCAGTCGGTAGAAGACAGATGCCGATGGGCAGGACAGCGGCAGGATCTTCGAGCTCGCCAGCATCCAGGGCTTGGCACACGTGAGCTCCACGGGAGAGGGACCGAGGCTGGAGCAGTTGAGATCACTGTTAGCCGAGTACCTGCCTGAATGTAACCGTTGTGCAAATCACAGAATCGTAGGATGGCGGATGTAAGTGGGAAAAACCTGCTATCGACCATTCAAGCTGAAGCTGCTGCAGGGAAGTCCTGTGCTCTTGGCCCTTTGGGTCGCTGTGGTCTTACTCTGAGCCAGCGTGTGTACGGGGTGCAGTCCGTCGGCTGTCAGTGTTGGTGCGTGCAGCTCAGCGGGTAGTGCCCCAACAGAGCTTGGAGCCGCTGCTCGCAGCATCCCTCACGAGAGGCTGGTTGCACTTGGGAAGAAGGCGTTTAAGCACTGCGACTCAATGGGCTTGTAAATGTCATCTTTCCTACGAGGGAAAGCTCTCGCTTGGATCCAGCCAGCAGGACTACCAGCTTGTCTAATGAGTTGCTTCATCTTTGGCTGATGTGCTGCTCTGCTGGCAGCTGGAACAGAGGCTCTCCAGGAGCATCCACATCTTGATGTCTCTGTTGCGATGGGAAATGTGAAAAGGGGCTTTTCTATACCCCAGTCTTTGGGTTTCTGTTGCATCTGCTGCGTCCCAGCTGCTTTATCAGCTTATGCTGCACTTTTCTTGGTGCTCTCCAATGCTGACGGCAGAACTGAGAAGCTTTGCGATCACACGCATCTTCAAAAACAACCCCGTCTGCTCCCCACGGGGAGAAAAATCCTTCGGGAGCTCTTCGCCTGTGCCGCTCCAGCTGAAGTATCGCCGCTCCAGCAGCCGCTCGGGATCTCAGACGTAAAGCGTTGCTATCACGCCGTGCTCTCCGCGGCGGTGGCATGAGTAGGGACTCGCAGAGGCGAAAGCCTGCAGGGTGTTTTCGGTGCCTGAGAGGCTCCGCCTGAAACCCGAGGTTGCTGAGAAGCTCCAAAGCCACCGCAGGTGGACATGCTCTTCTACCGCAGCCCTGGCACGCTGCGACTCCGCGCTTGAGCCCGTGTGCTCGCCTGTTCCCTGCCGCTTCCACCGGCAGCGTTTTTCCAGCGCCGGATGGGTCGCGCCTTACTGACGGATCAGGAGCGAGGTGGATGAGTTCGGCCGTGGCTTTTTGGTGACAAAGCAGGAGTCTGAATGCGCTGATCCTGCCTCCTTGCAGTCAGTCGAGGTGACTCTTCTTCCTGCCCATCCTGCTGCCTTGTGAAGAGCCTGTGGCTTGCAGGGTTTCCTGATCCCTACCCCGGTCACAGAGGCCTGAAGATGCAGGAGTTGCTATCAGCGCTGTCCTCTGCATGGCTGTTTTGAAAAAGTTTGGTCGCTGACCTCCGGTGACCAAGTTGTGAGAGCAGAAGAGCGTCATCTCCTCTTGAAGGGTAGGACAGGCTTGTTAGAGGCACGCTGGTTTAAATCTCCAGGCTTTTCTCTCCGGAGCCTGGCTTCAAGCATTGGTTTTATTGCAATGAAGGGCGCTTTGTGTGGATGCTTCCCGTCAACTCTGGGCACCTCGTGTGCGGGTTGCTCTGCGGTGACTCACGTTGATGCCAGGTCGTTACCTGTGGCCTCTGCTGCCTTGACTCAGATTTCTCCTTTCGCGGCATTAGGTGTTGGTGCAATTTAGAAGGACATGAAAGCAAAATAGAGAGGGGGACGAAATGGGAAAGCAGCGAGAGGGGGGCATGCTGTGCTGTGTTATAGATAATAAGAGCTGGACTGACTGCTCTCCTAAGGAGGTGGTTTTCCTCTACTGCCCTGCTCTCCACAGCAGTCGTACTGTCTGATCCATGGATGGGAAAAACAGGTACAGTGAAGAAAGAGCAAAAAAACCCTTTGCAAAGGGGAGACCACTTAACCTCGAGCTGGCTCCTGTAGAAGAGTTACTCAGGGGCTAAGGCTGGAAAACTACCACGTAAAACTGCTGGCTCTCCTGCAGGAAACATCCCTTTGCAAATCCCCTCCTTGTCTCTCGCAATAAAACCTTGTCAGTGTTTTCATTTCAATGTCCTGTCCCTCAGGGCAAGAAAACCCAGCTCCCAGCCTCTTGGTGTTAAGGAATAGATGCTCCCGTGCTGTTGCGTTTCTGTTGTCACTTATAGCAGGGACCTGGGAATGAGGTACCGCTCCTGGCTCTGTCGGCGTGTGCCCTTCGTGTCCCTGTCTGTTGTGTGGCCCCTGGTTTTTTTGGCTGTGGGAGCAGGGCTGGGCAGGATCCTGCCTCTCTGCTGTTTGTGGCACCGGTGTTGTCCGCCCTGGGTGGCTCGTGGTGCCCGTCTCAATGCTGCCGTGCCGCTTCTGCCTGTCTCTTCCTCTCTCTCCATCCCAAGGGGTTTCCCACCTCTTCCCAGAAATGCCTTATCGGACATAGGATCTGCCCCGTCCTTTTTTGTTTAGTGGTGCTGGCATGGCAGGCAGGTGAGCTGGGGTGCCGGCCGCTCTCTCGCGAGGCCGGCGTCAGACGTTGCTGGTGGGACCGGCCGGGCTCGCGGTGCCACTCGGCAAGGCGGAGGAGACGTAGGGGGACGGCGGGGACCCCGCGGAGCAGCACGCACGGGCGCCTCGCTTCCTCCCGCCCCGCGCTCCGGCACGCCTGGCTGGCCCCGCTCTCTCGGCCCCGGGTTTCTCACCTTTTCCTTTTCCACGGCAGAGCTGGCTGGGGTCGACCGATCCCCCACCGGGGACGTCCAGAGGCCCGAGCGTGGTTGAGAGCCGCTGACGGTGCCTGTCTGCTTTTCCTTCCTAGAAAATGTCCATCTCCGTCCGGGGACGCTGCTGCACCTGAGAGGCTCGAAGCTCTGAAATACCAGCGGATAAAGAAGCCCAAAAAGTCATCCAAGGGCTCCTCGAAATCCAGAAAACAATCCAGTGAGTGCGAGGACCCTGCGGCTCCCAACAGCATCCCCTCTGTCTCCCCGTGGGCAGAGCTTGGGCAGGTCCCTGCTGGCTCCAGTGCCGGGGACGGGTCTCCAAGCCCATGCCTGGATGCTGCCCTCATCCCTTGCCCCCCCTGAAGGGATGGCTGCCCGAGCTGCTCACCCGCAGGCTGTCCCTCCCCTGCCTCCAAACCAAGTTGCCCTTCCATGCATCTCCCATCTCTCGTGATTTGGTTTGCATTTTATTTTTGAGCGTTAACTTAATTTTCCCTGATGCTCAACGCGCTCCCTTCTCGCCGAGCGGCCGGTTTGGGGCCGGGCTTGCCGTAACCTCCCTTTCACAGCACGCAAAGCGCTCTGCCTGCTGCCGGTGCTGCCGACGGCTGCCGGCTCTGGTCCCATCTCTCTTCTCTCCCCCTCCAGACGGCTCTGCCTCCCAGGTTCAGCACCTTCCCAGCTCTCAGGTACTGTGGCCTGACGAAGCTGTCTGCCTCCGCAAGAAGAAGAGACATCCTCGTCAGGACCCCTTCGCCCGCCTCTCGGCGCTGAAGGACGACCTCTGCCACCGGCAGCTCCCCGAAGACCAGACAGCCATTCTCAACAGCGTGGACCACGACGACACCGGCGGGCACGCCACGTTGCTTTAACCTAGCGCCGGCCCGAGAAGGTTAAACAGGAGGGGGGTGGAGGGAGCCGACGTCGTGCCGCCGGGGGACGGAGGCGAGGGGAGAAGGGAGGGGACGCCCCTACGCTGCCGCTTCTGCCGGGGGGGGTGTTCGGTGGCTCGTGGTGGGGATGAGCTGGGGGGACCTTGGGGCAGGTTGGGGGGACGGGGAAGGTTGCCTGGGGCTTTGGCGCTCCTCAGATCCGCTTCTCCCCCCACCCAGGATGGCTCCGGTAGGGTGGGAAGGTGGGGGGCGTTGCACCTCGGTTTCAGAAAAGATCTCTAGCCTTAAAAGGCATAGACAGAGCTTTTGACATCTGCTTCTGCAGCACGCATTTAGGGAGAAAGTGTGGAATTGAGCAGCTGGCCCTCAATCGCCGGAAGAAATTAAATGACACAGGGTGTAATTCATTGACAAGAAACTAACAACCTAGACGGGAACTGGTAATCCTATGAATCTGATTATGATAAAAACATGACCAAATAATCCCAGGAAAGCTGTAATTGTGAAAATCTCCCTGCCTCCCCCTTCCCAGCCTCCTTTTATGTGAAGATAACAGCAACAAAACCATCAGTGACATCTTTCCTTACCTATCTCTGAAAGGGAAAACCAGAAAGACCCCGAGCCTTTGAATTGGTCCGAGATGTCAGAAATCGCCATTTGTTTGTGCAAATGCATTTGAACCTTTGTAACGCGTACTCACCACTGTGCGAGCACGCAGGTATGGGGCTGTTTTCATCCAGGGGTGTTTTCCCCCAAGTATGGTGTGTGTCAGCTTTGGTGAAGGGTGGTTTTGATTAGTTCTTCCCAACACACCGTGTATTGCTGGCGAATGTTCTTCAGTACTGTGTAGTAACGTGATTTCTTACTACTGTAACGTTTGTAATCTTTATTCATAACTGTGAAATGGGGAGATGCTGCTGCAGGTGTGCGGGCAAAGGGGGTTTGGCTGCGTGGTCCCAAAAGCCTCTGTCGGCAGATGCTGAGCCCAGGCGAGAGCAGCTGAAAAATCCCCGGCTCTGCGGATGGAGATGGATGGCTCCTTGGTGCAACCGCGCAAAGCTAAGCCCGGCGTTTCGCGTCAGCTTAAAATGCATTGCTGCTGGTTTCACTGTTTTCCCCTTCTTTCTCCTGCTCTAGCCTGGCCGTGTAGGCTGTGACACCCTCCGGGGTTTTGTCCCTCCCTTTGCCCCGTCCAAGGAGACCCGCTGTTCCCCTCTCGGTAAAGCTGTTCTAACTCTTCACCAGAATGTATTTCCTCTTCAAAATACTTAGGGTAGGTTTGGCGGCCGGTGGTTTTCTGGATTGCATAGGCCTCTTTTTTTTTTTTCTTTTTTTTTTTCTTCTTTTTAGCAGGAAAGGTGTAGCCTGCTCTGAGAACAGCCGGGCTTGCTTTCCTGCTCTGCCTCCACTCTCTGACTGCGTGGCCTTGGGCAAGTCACTCAACCTCTCTGTGCCTCAGTTCTCCCATCTGTAAAATGGGGATAAGTCATATTTGAGCACTTTGGACAAGCACTTGGTTCCTACAGACTGCAAGTGCTATGTAAACACTGAGTGCTAATAGCAAGTGATCCCTACCTTTAAAATACTTAGAGATTTTTTTTTTGAAGTGGTAAAATCAACCGCTGCATCCAGGTTTGCACATTTCTTCCTCTGCGGTAAAGTGCTAAACCCTCCAGCCTGCCTGGGAATAAAATACCAAATGTTTCATGTGGATATTCTTGCTTTGAGTGGATTCAGGCTGTAAAAGAAGCGTCAGGAGACTCAAAGAGCCTGTAGGCATGTTTTTTGCCCCAGGCTCTCCATTTGCATAGGAAACTTTTGTTTATTCCCAGGTAGAATTGCCAAGAGATTCTGCGCAATCTCGCCTTTAATTCTGCTTTGCCTTGGTTATTGCTCTTGCTGCTGGTTGAACCTCGAAGGGCTTAGATGTTTGGAGAAAGACGCCAGCTCTCAGCCGGACGGTCGGGTTATGGCCACTCCGACCACACCGTGCTCCCCGGGAGCTTTTAGGTTGGAGCCTGTTTATCGCTCTGCCTAGAAATACCTGGGTTTAGAGGTTGTGCTTCCTCTTCCAGCAGGACGCTCGGAAACCCGCAACCACAAAAAGCAGAGCACCGCGTCTTTTCTGATCTCAAAGCCCTCACTTAGGTTTGAACCGCTTGACAATGAATCCTCTAAATCGATAGCGAGATATTTCTGAGCATTAACAACTTTGTGTAGGTGGTCTTCAGACCGTGAGCAGGCTTGTCTCAGGAAGGAGGGAGGGTCTCGTGGAAATGCCCCTCTCTTTCCAGCCTGCACCAGGGCTTTTTATTGAGTACGTGACGAGTGACCTGATGTAAGACCCTCAACTATCAGAGTGAGAATTCAACTTCGCTAACAGTACGACTGCGAATTTCTTTTATTTGAGTGTGTTTTAGGGATTTCCCTAGAATCCGCTCGGATCTGACTTGAATTAATGCCGTTCGCCCGCTCGGCAGCGGGGAAAACTCTGCCTGGCTAACTTCAGCTCGCCGGTAACTTCAGCGGCAGCGGCTTTTGCCCTGCGGAGGCGAGCCGGGCTGCTCCCGACGGACAGGTGACAATCGGGGCCGGGGAATGCCCCGGTTGGGGGGGAGGCGTGGAGGCTTTGTGCTGGCCGTGCCGCAGCTGACTTGCTCTTCCTTTTCGCTCTCGTTGCCTCAACCTCTCTAACAGAAGGTTGGTTTTTCATTTGAGTGCTTTCCAAACTATTTATGACGCCCGTTCGCGCGGGCAAGGCGGTGTCTTCAGGCTCTTGAGGTCGCTACCTCGGGACCGTGCCCCCATCCCGTCTTAAGGAGCTCTAGAGGACTTGGAGTGCAGGGAAGGTTGATGGAGCGTGCCGGCTTGCTGGGTCAGTCTTTTGAGAGTTGTTTTCCTTTTGCAGGTGTTTTGAGCCGCTGGGCCCCCTGCTTTTCATGGTCTTCGACCTTTAGAGGCTGGAGCTGCAGCCCTCTCTCTTTCAGCCGTGTACCTGCCACGCTGCTGGAGTGGGAAATCCCGCCCGGGCGCCTCATGGAAGCGGCTCTTCCCTAAAACCATCCTTAACTCCTTTCCCCGCTAGACCGAGTTACCTTCCGATAGACTCAGGCCGTGCTTTGGCAGAATGGGCTCACCTCTTGCTTTGGCAACCTCCTCGCTTCTCCCAGCCCTCTGGTTTCCATGCCCTTCAGGGGGTCGCTCCTCTCTCCTCCCATGGACCTGGGACATCGAAGCTGTGTCAGACGATGCCAAACGCTTCCCCCATTTCATCCCTGTTTGAACTCCGTTTCGCTTTGGTGGTTTGCAAACACAGCTGCTGTTGCTTCATTTTTTTTATTTTTATTTTTTTTCTTTCATGCTGCAAAATATATCTTGATTTTTATCTTCCTGGGCCAAACTCTCTTATTTTGTAAGCTTGTCTGAGGTAGACGGCTCTTGTTTTATCAGTAAGCGTACGATTCCTCCTTGCACGTTGCGAACATGACGCGTTTCATTAGGTCCCTTGGAAAATCCCGGGCCACGGTGAAAAAACACCTCTGAATTGCAAGAATATTTGTCCCTGGGCTCTGCCGAGGCCTCGGTGCAGTGGGCGCCAGCCCTGCTTTGGGTGGTCCTTGCTGGTGCCTCCGCCTGCAAGGTGGCCGTGGTGGGGATGTTCCAGCGCCGTTTTCCTGCCGCCGTGGGGGTTGCAGGATTCAGCCGTCTCGGGCTGGGGGAGGTAAAGTGGAGAGGTAGGTACGGGGGTGTTGCTGGGGTCCCTTGGAAAGAGGGGGTGGTCGTGGGGTGCCGTCCCTCACACCCTCTCCGTCAAACCTGTGCTTGCAGGCAGGTGGTGGGGCAGAGCGAACGCTTCGCCTGGTTTTCCAGCGGGAGCTGCTGAGCAATCGAGGCCGCCTATTTTTAAGGTGACTTTGCTGTGTGAACCCACAGAAGCTTGGTTTTGCAATGTTGACATGAATGAAAAGGCAAGTTAGTAAGTAAGGAGAGAGGGAGGGTTTAGGGCTCGCTTGCGGGGCCCCATTTCTGTGCCTGCCGTTAATTGCATCTGTGGGCACTTGGAGTGATGGGTTTGTAGGATGGGGGGAGCTGGAGGGTCCTGGCGTCTCTTCCCAGCTCTGCCACACACCTGCACCAGGAACCTGGGCTGGAGCCCTTGGTGGAAGGCACCGGCATCCCTGGACCACCAACACAGTTTGTGGTCTCGCCGGGTGGGTGCGTAGGTTCTCCCCCGGGCAGAGCGGTCCCCGTGAGCTGCTGGGGTGGTGGGGAATGTCCCTGTGAGCAGGGATGCTCTTCCCAGGGTAGGACGCTCACTGGTTTTGCTGTGTGTCGGTCACTCGTGACTTGGAGGCTGGTTTCGGTCGCTGGTGGGCTCCAGGCTGTTGATCTGGCGTTTGTCTCTTTGTCAGCTGGTTCGGTGCCACCCGCTTCAGAGGAAGGCTGGAGGTGATGGTGTTTGGATATATAAATGTAAAGGGAATATAAAGGGAATAACAGCTTTGCCGTACCTACCTCCAGGCGTGTTTGAGGGCTCAGGGTTTGTGCTCAGCAGCCCAGGCACAGTCCTGGCAGGGCTTAGTCGTGTCTTGGGGCATCCGGGCATGACACACGCATTCGAGACTTATTGCTGCAGTCTGTATTAGGACGAAATCTGCCTGGCATTTGGGTTTCTCCTGCTTCAGGCAGTGATGTAGATTTGGGAGTTCTCTGACTTTTGGGTTGGTTTCAGCTGTAGTTCTTGGCTGGGGGTATTTTTCAGCAAGGCTGGACCGGCTGCCTTCAGGGATTTCCACACATCCTGCGTGGGCTTGCTGTGGCCCCGGGCTGGCAGAGTCGATGCTTTTTGTAGAAGGAAATCTTTTCAAGGAACCAGAGTAAAACGCAACTGTATATATGAGATATAAATACATAGAGAAGCGTAGGACAAAGATAGATAGGTATGCAGAAGTCCAGTAGATTTGCATGTCGGGGGGTAT